CAAGCTCTACGGTACCGGCGGTGGCGGTGGCAACGGCAACGGCGGCGGCGGCGGCGGTGGAGGCGGTGGCGGCGGCGGCGGAGGAGGCGCGGGCGGCGGCGACCAGTCGTCCGCCGCGGCCGTGGCCGCGGCCGCCGGCCTCAACTACACGAAGACGGAGCCGTGCGTGAGCAAATCGGACGCCGCGGCCGCGGCCCACCAGAACGGTTACGCGTCGTCGCCCAAGGACGTGGTGTGGCCGGGCAACGCGACGTCCGCCGCGGCGGCCAACGGGGCGCTTCTCCGGCCGAACGTGTGCACGCCCGAATCGCGCGTCGGCTACGGGTCCGGCAACAGCGTGTCCGGGCTGGACGGCGCCGGGGCCAGCCCGAACTCGGCCCGCAACTCGACCGGCACGCTGTCCTCGTGGAACTGCGTGGGCATCAACAACAACGGCCACTCGCAGCAGGCCCTGCAGGTCAACCAGCAGCAGAACAACCACACGTTCTACCCGTGGATGGCCATTGCAGGTCAGTCTCTAGGTACAGACACGAAACGGAGTATTTTTTTATTATTATTATTCTATTCTTCTTCTTCTTCTTCTTCTTCTTCTTCTTCTTCTTGACTGCTCTACCCCGTGCAGTCGAGAACGAGATTTTTTGTTATTCACCACCCCCCCCCCCCCCCCCCGGGATGTTATCCCGACCGACGAAAATATCACGAGAACAATATATCGATGCGTAGATGGCGATTTATATCGTCAAATATAAACGTCGTTTTCGCTCAAACTATTTTCGTTCCATGTAAACGAACGGAAAAATAATATATGTTCACCAGCGTTTCGCGTAAACGATATTCGCGCCCGTCTATTATTAGACCGTCCCGACGTCCGTACCGTTCGTTTCGCCGTACGCGGCCTCCGACGTCTCCTGTGTCTGCGCGATCTTTACGCGTTTCAACTCACGCGAGTTAGTTTGCCTCTTCGAATTTAATCGCCGACTTGTCATCGTACGTGTGTCTGAGCGCGTTTCACATTTTAATTATGATCTCCGCTCGCACCACGACATTCCGTTCAATCCCCCGCGTACAGATTTACGTAGGATCATTATTATTATTTTTTTTATGTCCGTGTCCGTCGAAATTTCAACTCCATATTGAATTTACCGCGTGATTTATCGGTGACAATATTCGTAGCTGTTAGGTTCGCGTTAAACCTGTTGCGTGGACGAAAAATTTAGGGAGTGAAAATAAAATGCCTGCTCCTATACACGATTCGAATGGATAATGCGCGCTGTTGTCGAAAACCGCTGCGAAATTAAATAGAAAAGAAACAAAACCGAACACGATTTTCTGCGGCGTAAAATGTGTTGAATCTTGTCGATCAGAAAGTTATCTAGTTCGCCCTGAACGTTTTCGGGTTTTGACGTGGTTACACTCCAAATGATACGTCGATTAAATTTAATTTATCGAGATTTATGGCCGTTTAAAATTTGTGCGTGTATATGCGTTTAATCTGTGACGTTTATTATGTAATTATAAATTAATTTAATTATTATAGTACAATATGTACCAGCGACGCACATTCGGGAAGTATATAAAACATTCGTTGATTAGGTGTACCGTCGTTTTATAGGTACATGTATATTCTGTACATAAACTGACGTGAATAACTATCCGCCTTAACTCCTTTCAACGGTGTATCGGAAAACAGTTAATATAACTTTTTACACTTGCTACGCGGTAGACGTATAACTATTTAATTACCGCTCGTGTGTACACAATTCAACAGTATATTATTATAGGAGTATCAAAAAAAAAAAAAAAAACACGCTTATTAATTACGTAAAAATAAATTTTAATTAAGTGCGTAGATCGTTTGATTTAATGTACGCATGTTTCTGTTTTTATTTTTCATTTTGTAAACCATTTTACTATTATAATTATAAATATTTCTTCGTACAATAACCACCACATTTATTAATTTAATTTATATCTACACGCAATGGTATAACAGTATATAGAAGAGTATAGCAAAATCGTTTAACGCATATGTGTAACCGTGTTATTATTGTTTTGATTCAATGCCGCGCGAGTCGTAGGGAACTCGTAATAATAACCGTAGTCCGGAGTCTAGAAGTTGTCCTAAAGCGTTTTCATTCCGATTGCTGCCCGGCCTGAAAAAAAGTATTAAAAAATAATAATTAATTAAAAGATTGGGAAAAAAAGGGAAGAAACTTACACGTGCAACGAATATTCAAATACATTATACGCGTACGCACACATTTAAAATTTTTAAATGATAGTCGTCCCGTGTACTTTTATTAACGCGCGATTATACTCAGATCACTGATTACCGCGGTCGATTGTAATCCAATCGCCGTACAGTAAAATAATTATATATTTAGCGTAACCTAACACTTGCATAATAACATATATTTCACGTAATATTATAAATGTTCGGCCGAGTTAAATATAACGTGGTCATATCGACGTGTAAGTACGATCGATGTACTGATAATTACAATAATAATAATGATAATGATGATAATGATAAATTTAATAACATGCAGTGCACCTCGGCAATGACATTTGAACAAAAATACAAATAAAAAAATCGTAAAAAATAAAACACACATATACACAGGCTTTCCTCCTCGCGAACATTATGACGATCGTAATACACGTGTACATGCCTATACACACTGAGGTCTATACCGTTTAAAAGGTCATTGATTTAAGTGTGTATAAATCGTCGCGAGGTGTAGGCACTCACGCCTTGCAGTTAGGGGGAAATTCATTCACGGTATAATCAATGTCCGATTTAGCCCCCGTACGGCATAATGTAATGCATTATTTTGTAGAGTGTAAATAATCGTACAGGTAGCGGTCGCGTCTCTCGTTCCGAGTCGCATAAAAAAAGATTTAATCGTACGTCGTGTCGTATTATTTATACATATACATATATAAATGTATATATTGTTCTGTGCGTGTGCGTGTGTGCAATATGCATATAGTATAACACGTGACTCGAGATTTCGTTTTATGAGGACAACCGGTGGATCATTCCGAGTCGAGTTTAATTTGGTAGTAATAATACAACAACATTAATTCAAACGTATATCATTGTGGCCACTTCGTCTTTGGGTGTATTTCATCACACGAATAATTTATTATTCGCATACATGATATATTTGTCATCAAATACCGTCACCGTAATTGTATAGGTGTATACGAATGATATTTATAGTTCACCGTTTTCTTTTGTTAAATACAGATAGATAACGTACAATAAAAATCTCCAATAAATACTCTTCCGATGCATGCAAATTGTATAAACTAAATAATAGTCAAATGCGATTGCTTTGGTTTCAATGCAAATATAAAACATATTTGTTTTTAATTATTAATCACAATACCTATTGGTTTTTTTATTTCTAACCGGACACTAAAAAAAAATGTATTTCCTTTAATACCAAAAATAGTAATTTTGTTTTCGTTCTCATGACAATTGTTGACTGTAAAATAATATTGCATCCAAATTTACATCAATTCAAAAAAAATAAATCGTAATCATTTATCGTACGATTCTTAGAAACATTTCTAACCATGTGTTCTATCAACATGAATAAATCACATTGGTAACAATTAAATTGCTTTCCCCAAAGATTTCTCGCGTTAATATCGTAAAATTAACCTTAACAAACGAATAATTTTTTCAACGTGCAATTTTAGTTTAAATATCTAAGACAATTATTTTTGAATAATATTACTCTACGCCTTCGTATAGACATCGTTAAAGATTGAAAAAAAAAATTATAAACGATATCTTTCCCTGCATATCCATATGTATATTATGTAATCACGTACCGCACACATGTGCACGACATTAATCGTCCGTTAATTTCTTCGTTGAGAAATTAGAGAATTATGTATTGAATTAGTGGACTTGATCGTGTTGTACACAGCGCTTAGGGAATTATCGATTGATTAAATCGAAACGTATTATTACAGAACTATAAATCATCTGCATAATAAGAGATAAATTGTTTCCTATACAACAGTACGCCTTTTACACGCGTACGACGGGAAAGATAAAATTGTAACATCAAAATATTATAATAGACGCGTCGCGTACACATGAGTGAATTATTATCCGGACGGTCTTACATGTGACATAACAGCAATTATCGTTTTCACGCTACGAAATGATTACGGAGTCGTATACATATTGTACACTATTATTCGGGTACGCGTACACGAGAGGGTCCGACGATAACGTGACGACTTTGACAATACCTTATATTTTGGTGTTCCGATTCGAGCGGGACGTATTTAATGAACTTCTAATCGTTCTACGTGTCAATACACGAATTGTACTCGTTTGATTCACATCTAGGGACGTCGCGATATCCTTATGCTCGCCGCAACTGATAACGCCGCCCGGCCGTTAAGAAGACGACGATTAGATTATTTGTATGTTGTGAAGTCGAATAGAGTAGATTATAACACAACGGAATGCCATGGAATAGAATAGAGCGTATCATCGACCGTCGGAAGATTTCAAACGTTATCGGAATCACGTCGTTTACCGTACGACCGTAAATTTTAAATGTAATGTTTAATTTTAAATGTTGTTGTAACAACATCGCGCCCGCCACATCACAAAGGTTCAACCATCGGGGGAGGGAAAAGTCCTTAGACGAAAAACACGTTTCAAGTGACGAACTCTATTTTTAGTCTTGGCAGAAGTGTCTTAAACGTTTTCCACGCGATCGATTTCTCCGTGTGCGCTCATCAAACGTACATCATCAGTCGATCTCCGACGAAACCGTGTTTGTGTTCCTCGTAGAATTTCGCGCTGAAACACGAGACGGACGGTCCGCGAAAGCGTTTTAATTACGTGGTTGCGGACGTCGGTGGCGGACGAGGGAACGGAGAAAAACGCCGAAACCAATCGCCCATAGCTTGGACGCTATTTTTTCGGAGATAACGACGACCGCGCGTTGTTCTCGGTCGCACGTCCGCCGCGACGATGATTATTGTTATCGTCACACCGTTGTTGTTACGACACGTCGTTACGTGATAAAATTATGTTCAATAATATTTTCTTCCGCGACGCGAAACCGCGCTACCGACGGACGATGGTCGGGGTCGCCGCGCCAGCCTCGATGTCCGCGATTTACGACGCGTACCGACCGCTGCGTAGATCCATGATCCATGATCCACGATCTATGATCCATGATCTATAACGTTATAGATCCCCGGGGACCGTGCTGCCGCCGGCGGACACGGTTTCGCCGCGAGCTCCGTGCGCGCGCGTTCGTTTTACCGTACCGACGCGTTGTACCGATCAACGATGCGATCGGCGCACGAAAATCCGTCGACCGACCGTCACCGTTGATATGGTTCTTCATGGTACAGGCTCGTGTGCCCACGACTGTTTTCCGCTACGATATTGTTCGTTTTGTGCGCGCGCGTGTATGTTTCACGGTGCGCGTTCAAAGGACCGTCGTCGTAGTTTAACGGCCAATTAAAACTCGCTTCCCGCCTGTCGGTCGGTCGAAAACGCAACGGTCGCGTCGGCGAGTGCGATTATGATAAATCATAATAATCCGTGATGTAGGTTACCTATGTGTAATATTATACGCGATGATTGTTTCGAATCTAAATACGGCTCGTAATTATTTTTGGAACGCTCGTGACCATTTTCTTTTTTTTTCTCTCTCTGTACACCTGTACAGTATTATATCCGCCAACTACATCAATGTTTTCGTCGTAATATTATATCAATTAACGTATTAAAACTAAAATATACGTGAACTACTTTTAAAACTTTGGAAGCAATTAATACTCTACGTCGAAAAGTATAACGCATTCAAACGTTACATATTATTTCATTATTCACGTGGGCGAAGTGGAAATTCACTTATAACGGATGAGTAAATTGTTCTTTTTTTTTTTTTTTTTTTACCTGCTCTATAATAATCTTGATCCATAACACATTGTTCTTGTAGGATTTCCAACACTTTATTGTCTTGAACATGTTATTGCGCTTATTACTGCTGGTTGTGTAGAAACTGTTTTTTTTTTTTTTTTTTTAATCCAATATTTAACTGCAAAGGACATGTTTTTTTTTATACATCTTATAAATCTGAAAGTGTTAACCTACACAATTCGTTTACTGCCACCGAACAGGTAAACATTATAAATATCTCTTTTTATATCCCATGTCGTCATTTAATGTGTATACGAAACTATTCCGTTTTTTCCACCATATATATATATAACACTAATTGCGTCTGAATAGGTTACGACTATTGAAGATTTATACGTTCAACTATGATCTTTATAATACCGTTCGAAAAATAAATAAATAAAATCACTAAACATATTGCACGCAAAAAACGCAGTACGATTGATTCGACCTCACATACATTATGTAACTGCACTATTATAATTAGTCGTAGATACTAGCCTAGTCAATAAATCTCAAAATAAATAAACAAGATTATTTATTATGCACCTACACACACGCGCACACACACGTATATATATGTATAATACACATTAATAAGTTTTAATTTTCCTTATGCAAACAGCTTTGAATTCCTTGTTTAAAGCTACTGAAAATTATTTAAAGTTTTTTGAACTGCTGTTTTCCGAGTTTACCTATTTTTCACATAGAAAATAATTTACAGCGTTAGGGTATACCTATAGTCAGATAATTATATACGTTTAAAAATGTATCGTGCGTATTATTATTGTTATTATTATTCACTTTTTTATAAATTATAATTATATGACGCGAAGAGATCGTATTGAGACCTATTTAAAATTAAACTAGACATATTTGTGTAATGTATTTACATGTATATATATATATATATATACGCAGAATATTATGTATGTGTATAATGTGTACACAAATTTATTAATGGGAGTTTGACACGAATACATATTACGTACAAGGCCTCCGGTATTTTCGTGATATTCCGATTAAAACTATAATTAAAAGCATTGTTATGTACCTTTTTAATTAAGAATTTTCCACCGCCATTGTTCAAGTTCGTATTTAAGTCGAAATAAGTCGGCGCGTAGTGTGTTGCGTATAATGATACCTACACACTGTTTTTGGGATGAGATCGCGGTGCCGTTTATCATCCCCGTTCGGAACACGCGTAATGCACTAATGAGCCAACGAGCAAAACAAACTTTATCGGGCCAAGCCGAGATCAAAACAATTTTTTACAACGAACGGTGCAGCTGTGCGTAACGAATGCGTTTATTGAAAACGTCGATTTAATTGTGTTGAAGTAATGAACGCCTTGAACATGGACATAGTCCCGGAGGAGTTATCTATCGTTGATCAATCCATAAACTCGTACACGTATTACCTTAAGACCAGATGGGTCTTGATTATATTGCCATAAATCGATCATAAACCACCACACGCGTAGAAGACAACACTTTTTCAACGTAACGCAACGATAATAAAATAATGTGAACATAATTGCGCGTATTTTTCCGCGGCTCCCGTCGGCTCCAATTTCATTGCAATGTTACATAACGGTAATAATAATAAAACATGATCGGTGCCATCATGGGTGCGCGATCAGCTGTGTACGTGTATGCCAAGGTCAACGGCTGACCCAATTTTCAGGCCATTTACCCGGAGGGTCGTAACGCGTTTCCAACCACCCCCTACATGACGATACGTATAATAACGTGCGTACGCGGAACGAGCATAAGTGTGTGCGTGCGTGCGCGCACGACATGATAATAATGGCCGACATCCCGGTCGGGGGGGGGTTGGTGGTCGGTGGGAGGTGAAATGAGATATAATAAGAGTTATAAAAACGTCGTACGGCCCGTGTCCGACAGATGACGTTTGTGTTGCGCCCGCAGTAACGGTGGTGCTGCTGCCGCTGCGGTCGGAGTCGCGCGACTCCCGTCGTCCGGTCGGACGCGACGGTAAATCGTAGGTGAAAAAAAAAAAAAAAAAGTAAAAAAAACTCGTCCCGCTCGCGCGCGCATAAAAAACGGATTCCGACGACGCGCCGACTTTTATTAGCTGTTAACGGTGTTGTCCCCCCGTAATAGCGACGGTAATCGTCGGACAATCGCCTACTTATTTTTACCATCGTCGTTCCGTTTGAGTTTTTATTATTTTTATTACACACTTGTCCGTCCCCCGCGTCACGGAACGCCGATCGCCTTGCCGTACGAGTGAGCACGCGCGCGCCGCACAACACCGCGTAATCCGGCAGCACCAACCGCCAACACCACCGGCAGTGCCTCAACACTGGAGCAATAATGATATGCAAACGCGCCTCGTTTGCGAGTGCTGGCGCGAATGCTGACAAGGGAACACCGACAGCATCGCGGCAGTCCCGGGTCTGGTCCACATCGCGTAAGAACGCGATCGTGACAAAAACGATGGTACCCTTAGCCCGGGCAAAACATCTCGGTTCGGTCTTGGCGCGCGGAATATTTCTTCCGCTCTTGACCATCCCGTGCGTTGAGCATTCACAGTTGGTATCGTTTTCGCGTCGGTGACTTGGGCCGCACGCCGTTCCGTTGAGAAATAAAATCTCGTGTGCACGCGCACAAATAAATTATATATTCATAACCTTCCTCAACGAGTAAGACCTTGGATGGATTTTCTATCCTACGCACATTTCACGTGTGCCAAACCCGTCGACAATGAGTCTTACAAGTACGCGTGGAGTTTCGGCGCGCGTGCAAATATCTCGGACGTGCTCGTTCGAAACGTTTAACCGGCTGCGGTGCGGTGACTTCGTCGACGGTTCCGCGAAAACGTGTCCTGTACGATTTCCGTTTGTTGTGCACGACTAACGCACATCACGTCGGTCGCCGACGGCTCGCATCGTCCTAAAACGATTTTTGTAATAATTGTCAACGATGGTCGACGACATAGAATTACTAAATTACGTACCTACGTTTGTGTACAATGCGCTCGCGGTTTTTTTTTTTTTTTTTTTTTTTTTCATAATCCCTCCGGTTTTACGTATACACATTTCGGGTGCAGCAACGCGATTCATCACGAAAACGAAATCAACCATGTCATCGAAAAACCATACATAAATCACCTGAAACATAATCAACGAAATAATTTAATTGAATATTGTAATAAAAAACACCGTGTTTGAGTTTTGCATAAAAAATGTTTACCTCTTCGATAGTACAATGTTTGGCCCGGAAAATACGATATCATCGTAGCGCGGTACAGGGCCGCCGCGTAAAGTTTTGTACGTTTAATTCTGCGAATTCGCGAACCCGTGCTCGACGAATCTGTAACCACGATTAGAACGAAAAACAATTAATCACATGTGTTTTCGTTCATGATGCGGAATTCTTAGTTTTCTGATGCAATCAAGATGAAAACCATCGACGTTGTGACTGTCGTGTGTTTTGGTGCACCTTTTCAAAAGAACGTACCATCGCATTTTTAACGTTAGCAATAACGACGGACAACGCGTCCGTGTGTTCATATTGATTAGTAATTTTCTTACGCATTATCGACGTTTTATTACGTACTCGTAACATCACTCGTTATTCCAATGCGCTAGGTCACCACGAGTGAATAATATCGTCGTCGTCTGCTCGTAGAACAAAACGGTTTTCGATCATGATTTACGGTTCGAAACGTACACGCGTGTGCGGTTAAGAAACAAAAAAAAAAAAAAACACCGAACACAAATAGGTTTACGCGGATGGCCGCGGGACAGTTTAAAATAGATATTTTCGATTTACCTCGCGTACGGACCGGCGGAAGGTGTATTGCATTTACATATTCGTGTACGCACGAACATTTATTTTGGAGCAACGTCCTCCCCCTCGTAGGACGCGGTCCGTCACCTCGTACACAGGTATCGTGAAGCCGAACGTTCGCGGCCACGGGCGTCGGCGCGCACGCGCACGCGCTCGTCCGTTCGCGCTCGCGAACCGCGCGCGTGAGATCGTCGGAAAAACCGAAACGGACGCGTTGCGGGTAACGCGTCGGCAAAACGTACGGCGGTCCGATCGGAAAAACGCGCGTCACACAGCAGAGCATATCATGTTAACCTGCGAAGCACGTGGCGCCAGTGCCCCCCCCCCCCCCCCCCAATGGTTATCGAATGCTACCCAGTGCCGCCGCTGACCACCGACACATCCTCGCGACGACCGTAACCGCAGGAGTCGATTTCCCTCGTATTCGTTCCTCCGGCAGAGACAATTTTATTGTAACGCGCCACCCAATGAAAATTACATGAAATATTCGCGCGCGCACCTAGAACCGCGTTGTTGCCCGAACGCGCACGCACCGCGTGTACACGGCCGGACCCTCGCGCGCGCACATAACTCAGGCGAACGTTCACGTGCACAATCGCGGGATTTATTGATCACGCTTTCCCGAAAATATAAGCCACTGCACGCTCTCGTACACGTGCGCGGGGGGGGGGGCGAGTGTGAACACCCTACATATGCGCTTTCACAAGTTTTCCAATGCGTGTGCTGCACGGGCCGCCGCCGGCGCGCAATCCTCTTTTGGAGTCCGGCCATAAATCCGTTTCCATAACCACGGCGGCGACGTCGGTGCGTAGGTATATACTACGGTATGACCGCGCGCGCCCGCTAATGGGGTAGGTACGCAATTGTGTATATTAAATGAAATTCCCACAACGTCCGTCAAGTATAAATCAGTTGCACGTATTTGTATATATATATATATATATATATATATTATATTTATATGTCAATGCGTTAAAAGTGATAAATAAAAAATAATAATGATGAATAAAATGTTTGTACACATTGTTTTCACGATTGTTGTATTATCATTATTATTATTGTTGTTGTAAGTTATTGCGGCAGGCGCAGTGGTATAAACCAGTCGAACGACGGGAACGGTACTCACGGAGCGGAAAAAAAAAAATAGAAAATACAATTTATGAAATGAAAAATGTATTAATACATATATATATATATATATATGTAATAAACAAATAACTAACCACATCGACGGTACGGCGTAATTATTAAACTCGCGACTCGACGATTTATTACAAGACTTTTTTCCCTTTCTGATATTGCTTTCGGTCGATTGCTTACTACTTAGGTGCACCGATATTATTTCAAATGGCGTTTTAAACGTTCGCAAATGGCGTGCAAATAATACAACTTGGTTGTAATAAACCATCTCCAATGTAACACACTGTGTGTATGCGTTTATGTGCGTACGTTTAATGTCGACGTCTCTCGAGCGCTCTACAGTTGTGCCGCCGACGTCGTTTTTGTTGTACACATATGCGTGTGCGCTTACGAGCCGCCATTGCACGGAACTGGTTGCGTGCACTTATTAGAGAATCGAATCGAAATCGCATATTTTTCACGATTTTTTTCTTCCCCCGTCGTTTAACGCGGTACGTCTGCACACGTAATACGGCCGGAGATTCGCGTCGTATTTCGAATTTCTATCCGTCGTAAAATTTGTACTGTTCGAGTGCCGTCAATACGGGTATTTTCACATTTTTTTCAAGTCCGACATCGAATCCTCTGCAACCAACCGGGGAGAACCGCCACGCGCGTCCACGTGATTTAACGATCGTAACCCTGCGTGTTATTGTTATTTGATACGTACAGAAATGTATTATTGCTATGTACTGACATAGCGTTAGCGTTTTTCCGCGATGATAAAACACTTCTCGCTCGGCGTGCCGGTAGCTGTGTTCGTACGTGTAAGCACTGTGTCGTGGTTCAAAACAAAATGGCATGGCGACGATTAATCTTGATCCCGAAACAATTCGACGATAAACACGAGTAATGAAAATTCGTTCCGAGTGATAAGAAACAGAGAGAAACTGACCGTTTTAAAATACGCGTAACGCGCACTTGTTAAAACACGTATACGCGCGAATGTACCGATATAACGTAGTACATGCACGCACACTCACACAACGTGCATATATTAACGCCGTAAAAATAAAAAAATAAAAAAAAACGTTGCAATGCTCGCGCGAGAACCATTAAAATCGATAAATACATCACGAGAGTAAATAGGAGGTGTACGTTATAATTAATTCGCGTGTGCTTTTCGCGCGTTGGTTTTCGTTTGGCGCCGTGTTAATTGTTCATCGAATCAGTGTGCAATCAACACTACGTATAAATGTATACGCGTCGTTCATAATAATAATATCGAATATAACGAACTACGTGTGCAGTAGTGGAAGACGTGTAACATGAATAATTTTTACAATCGGAAGAGCGAAAAAAAACGTAAAAAAGTTCACCGCGTGTATCTCTCGTGACCTCGTTTCAGATCATGATTAGAGCGTGTACAATATCATACAGAGATGTTTAAAAGGCCGCGCACGAGTCAAACGATTGCGTAAAATACGTGAAAAAAAAAACAAACCTACCACTGCGGTCATGTGGAAATTTTTTGTATTTTTCCTTAACGCGCGGTATAGTATATTTTCAATATATAATCGTATTATGCGCAGAAATCATTAAATTATTACAAAAAAAAAAAAAAAAAACAACGCGATTAGGAAAAATTAATTCCGCGAATTATGCGGAGCCATCGTAATAATCCATGTAAATGATTATTCACATAAATGTTAAATAGCGAAGAAGTAGCTTGGAAAACTTTCTAAACAAAATCAACAAATAGCGGTTCGTAGTTTAATAATATTTTTTTTTTGATTTTGTCAAGTCTTTTGGTTTCGGTGTTTTTTCGGTACAGCCATTAATCACTTTTATAATAAAAATTAACTTTTAGTTTATACGAGGCACCGTAAACGTGTTAATTTTACAACATAATTAATTTAAATTTGTGTTTCGCCGTCGAAATCGTTTTTTTTTTTTTTTTTTTATAGTAACAGATTAGAGATCCTAGTAAATAAGACCATGTAATTGGTGGGCGCCTAACCGGTTTTGAAAAATAATATTGGAAAAGGAAGATCACACCGCATATTGTTGAAATTTTATCCGCAGTGTCATTGTGGTGTTCTTCCGATTTTAAGCTTTATTTCAATCGTACACCTGGTATGGATATTCTTTGAAATTTAAACATAAACTATAATATAATTTATGAGCGTGCTGCTTTACGGAATTCGACTTGCCTTGTATGTAACGTTAACGTGCAAACCGTCGAGAAGTAAATTTTACCAGTCGTGGACTCGCGTGATAAATAAATAAAAAAAAAACCCTTAGCATAATCGATCCAACACGTTCGAATTATGTTCCGAAACAAATAAAATATTATATTCCTAATTATATAATCGGTTTATAAACGATTACATAAGTATTTAATTTGTAGTATGAAATTCGATTATTGTAATCGAATATTATTCATAATGCAGTAGGTACTTTATATAATATTATCGTACACCTAAGGATATGTTTAGGTGCATCAATATACATGTATGAATCGTACAATGCGTGTTTTTCTTGTAATAAATCATTTCCGAGTGGGGTTATATACTGCAAGCATCGGAACATGAATATCAACCATAAAATTATTATTATTACAAACGCATGATGTATTACTAACACAATTATGTTAATAAGCTGCGAGGAATACACCAACGATGTTTCCGAGGAATACATATAGTAGAAGTTGCAGTTTTCTTTTTTATTATTAAATAACATTAAAAAAAAAAAATTGTTTTCGCGTCATATAAACGACACATAACACTCTACGGTACATATTCAGTGTAAAGCCATTACTATGAAAATTATCGTTGAACGTCTCTATCCGTGGAATATTATAAAAATTCGCAAAAAACGTCGTTATAGAAAAAAAAAACAAACATTACATTTATTTAGCACGTTTTGAACAAGAACTAACCGTGCGCGCACGACGCCAAGCGCTTGCGCGTCTTAATAAATATAATATTAAATAATGCAAATATATATGAGCTTATCGGCTATCGCTTTTAACGATCGATCCGAAGTAGGTTATTCGTGTTATTGATTTCAGCGAACGGCGCCGACGGTTTTATCATTGGCCTTTAAGGAACATTAGTTTAATGTCATAACTAGTCTTAGGGACTTCTAGCATTTGCATACTTTTTTTAATTATTGTTAAATGTAGTACAGGGCGAAATAAATTCGTTTTTCAGTGTCATGATATCAAATCTAAAATTTGAATGTACATATTTTTGCATATTTAATAGATTTTGCAGGAGAGTGCATATTTTAAAATTGTTATGCATATTTATGCTATTTATGCTAGTTATGCTTATTTTGCATATTTTGACAAATTTTTCAAATTTTATTGTTTAAAATTAAAAACTATAGATACAAAT